ACAATAAGGTACGAGAGTTTAGTGTGAAGTAAACGTTCTGGTTCTGGTAATGTTTCGTTGTTGCATCCATGAGCTTGCAACTAAAAAGTGGACGTACATTTGAGGTTTCTGACGCCGTAGTAGCCAAGAAGGAGGCTGTATCTGTCGTTCGTGGCATCCTCGTCTTCTCCCGTATTAGCCTGCCATCCTTTGCCATCTAAGGCACGTGAGAACCACTCAACTATGTAGGTCAACCATGGGGCGCTGAATGTCAATATGTCCACTGTCATCTGGTGAAAAAAATAGGATAACTTTTTATTGTGTTTGAAACGTTGTAAGTCATTGGCATGAACGGTGTCGCTCTCAACTTTTTTAAAGTCATTTTAAACTAAATTTCCCCCTAGGTCTTGGGGAGTTCAAATTTAATACACAGTCTAGTCAAGCCGGGTAAGTTTGTTTTTGTTTTTTTTTAAAATCCACATTTGATGGATCCACAAACAATTGAGAATGGGAAATTTCGCAAACTCAAAATAACACATGGCATTGGGAATTACTTTTGTAAAGTATTGTCCTCGCAAAAGGCAATTAGTAAGTTGAATTAGAATGGCGATGAGAGATTCAAGTTGGGGAGAATCAAGGTGGTGAGAGTCAATCTCATCGTAAAAACTAAATTTTGTTTCTGGGTTTCTTTTAAAAGGAATGCATAAATAGCCTTATACCATTTAACCTACAACGATCGCCTGTCAGAACTCTTGGTCAAAGTACTCGCTGAGACTAAAAATAGTTTTAAAAATAGTACGTATTCCCCCATTAAAAAATGACCCGCCCACCCTCCCCCCCCCCAACCCATGCCAAGTTAGGAATGTTATTGCCGGAAGTTGGGATTTCCAAAACCAAGATTACAGGAATATATAAAAAAAAATTTAACATTACTGTGAAAAAGAAAAGATTTTAAAAGACAAAAATATTTTTCGAAATATGTAAAATAAAATAAATAAGAAAAGAAATTCAGGGCAAATATAGTATCACTGGTAGAACACAGGTATGAATTCAAGGCTGTGGTTTGTGAAACAACTAACTCTACTCTCAGTTCTGCATTCTTTATAAAACTCTACTCTCAGTTCTATATTATTTATAAAACTCTACTCTCAGTTCTACATTCTTTATAAAACTCTACTCTCAGTTCTACATTCTTTATAAAACTCTACTCTCAGTTCTACATTCTTTATAAAACTCTATTCTCAGTTCTACATTCTTTATAAAACTCTATTCTCAGTTCTACATTCTTTATAAAACTCTAATCTCAGTTCTACATTCTTTATAAAATCCTTTTATAGAAACATCGCTTTTGTTCGTGGCTGGCAAAATCTTCGGACGGCTAATTGACCCACTTCCCGCAAACCCATCAGGCACGTTGTCGATGACAGAACATGCTGTCAAATTTTCGGTCCCACTTCCCAATCCCAACCGCAATAAGTCATTTTACCTATTTTTCAAGGTGAAGATAATGGAAATATGATGACACTGATCAATATGATGACACTGATCAATATGATGACACTGATCAATATGATGACACTGATTTCACGAAATAACATTCTCGATAACTGCGCAAAATGAGATAATCTTTTTTTTTTAATTTTTAAATCCCAAATGCATTTAGTGTGTAATATTTTCTTTCTTTTTTTTTCTGAAATAGTTGGCAAAACAAATCTGCGGTGCAAAAGCGGGTTGGGTCTTAAAAATATTAATAAAGTTAAAATGTGTGCTGGCGAGCCTTGGAGGGGAGCACTAATTTGAATTCGTAAGAAGTCCGTTTCTTATATGTACGTTTTGTCAGATTTTCAGCGCCCCCCCCTCCCCCCACTCGATATTATATTTCATAAAAGAGTTCTACTACATCTTTGTTTTTAGTGATTGTTTAATTATACCCCCCCCCCCCACATCACATGACCACTAAATCCAGTTATCCAACCAATTCCCACAATTTAATCTTAGACATTCATGAAGAACCACTCACAACCACCAGTCAGACAACATTACAACAACGCAGGACATCCAGGTCACTAAGGTCAGTAAGAACACACAACAACGCTACTGGTGAGTCAAACGGTCACTCTGACCGCCACATAGACTTCGGAGCGTCTATTTTGGGCTAATTGAGAAAAGCATTCAGGGTAAAAGGGTGACCTTACTCACCATGTAGACCATGCAACCAATGACGAACATGACAGAGATAAACCGAGAGGAATATCTGAAACCTGTGTGAATCAGACGAATGCAAAATGCTTTCAGAAAAAATAGTTTATTAAATTTGAACCTACGTTAAACCTATAGAGACCACACAAAAAAATCAAATATCAATGAAAAACGTTAACATAAGTTTAAATAAACGCAATTTCATTTAGATTCGAGTGCATTATGCTTAAAAATGGTTTAAAATTTGAGCATTCGTTTGTTTTGGCATAAGAAGATGGAGTTTATCACAGGAATTTAACGCTGAGAGAATTAACTTTTCATTCGTTTACATTCGACATTTTTTGTACGCAGGCAAACTTTACAGGCCAACTCTGCAGGCCAACTCTACAGGCCAACTCTACAGGCCAACTCTGCAGACTAACTCTACAAGCCAACTCTACAGGCCAACTCTACAGGCCAACTCTACAGACCAACTCTGCAGGCCAACTCTACAGGCCAACTCTGCAGGCCAACTCTACAGGCCAACTCTGCAGGCCACCCACTCTGCAGGCCCACTCTCCAGGCCAACTCTTCAGCCCAACTCTGCAGGCCAACTCTACAGGCCAACTCTACAGGCCAACTCTACAGGCCAACTCTGCAGGCCAACTCTGCAGGCCAACTCTACAGGCCAACTCTACAGGCCAACTCTGCAGGCCAACTCTACAGGCCAACTCTGCAGGCCAACTCTGCAGGCCAACTCTGCAGGCCAACGGCCAACTCTGCAGGCCAACTCTACTCAGCAGGCCAACTCACCTTTTTCATTACGGTAAATCAATCGACAGATTTTGTCCACAATAATACGTTTGACGGCGTCAGCCTTGACCTTCTTAGGTCTATGAAATTGGAGGTAAATAATTACAATTATATTTACAATAATGACATTTATATTACAAATAATTGATTTTTCAAAGTCATCGATAATCAAATTCAGAAAAAAAATATCGTCAATTAATTTTTAAGTGCATAAAACACTAATGATGATGATAATAATAATAATGGTAATGGATTAACGTTTTTAATTACTGGTTTGGGCATTGCCAGATTTGATTCATGATATCAAGCAGTTATAGGAAAGATGGGAACTATTCTAAGGAGCAAACACGTTTACACATTGTAAAAAGAGGATAAAGACCTGCCCTATGTTGTTAAAGATGTCCTTACATGCCCTGTGATGTTAAAGATGTCCTTACATGCCCTGTGATGTTAAAGATGTCCTTACATGCCCTGTGATGTTAAAGATGTCCTTACATGCCCTATGATGTTTAAGATATCCTTATATTGCCCTTTGATTTTAAAGTTTCCATTACATTCCCTATGATGTTAAAGATGTCATTACATGCCCAATGATGTTAAAGATACCCTTACATGCCCTATTATGTTAATGATTCCCTTACATGCCCTATAATGTTAAAGATGTCCTTACATGCCCTACGATGTTAAAGTTCCCATTACATGCCCTATGATGTTAAAGTTCCCATTACATGCCCTATGATGTTAAAGATGTCCTTACATGCCCTACGATGTTAAAGTTCCCATTACATGCCCTATGATGTTAAAGATGTCCTTTACTTGCCCTAAGATGTTAAAGATATCCTTATATGCCCTATGAAGTTGAAGTCTTTTTTTTTTTTTTTTTTTTTTTTTCTGCACTAGTACGTTAAATGCCCTTACATTCCAAATTTTGGTTTAGCCAGAAGTTTCCTGACATGCTGACCCTGGTGTGATTTCCTGATGTCATCCACCATCTCATCCCCCACACAACCACCAAACTTTGGGTTGAAGGTGTTTCCTTGCTTGTATGCCAGCCAGAAACGTACAGGTAAATTCACGCTGAGGTAGGCCAGGCACGCCAGGTTGGGGAGAGATTTGATGACCAGCAAGACTCGACCTGTCTGACATAGATCTGGAGTTATTTACAGTTTATCGGCAAGCTTGCCGCTAGAATGAATCCAAAAATGTTAAAATAATGTGTCGTACAAATGACTCTCTAGCATTTAATGTATGTATGGAGAGAAGTGTAAGGCTTCGTCAGCGAACGCAACGAGAATTTGGTGGGGGGCACAATGTGTAATAAACGCTTACAGAGTCACGCTTACACCCACAGCTAGATTGTTCTTTGTCGTATCTTTATTTAGTTGCGGTTTAAATCATCTAATAGAGATACCTGAGCCTTGAAAAAATAGAATGTGAAATTAGTCGATGCCTGAGAGGAAATAGAAGACATTTTTTTTTTTACCAAACATCGATGGTGGTTGCGAAAAACATTTTTTTTTTGTTCAAAAATAAAAAAGTACAAATAAAAAACAAATATTCAATAAATTAATTTTAAAAAATTTAGTTAGAAGAAAGGTGAAGGTCATTGAGTCTATGGACGGAGAAAAAGCTAAGAGGCGACCACCGCCCACAAGGGGGGATAATTTCGAAAATGTATGAATTTTGTATATATTACATTTTTCATCACATAGAAACTTGGGTGTTTGTGATGCATCATGTCTGATTGTATTGCAGGTTGTGCGATTGCATGACACTCATTCTACTTGTATTGGCTGAAATGTGTAGAATCTAACAAGAAAGTAGAAAGGGGGGGGGGGGATTTGTTTTTCAAATTATTTAAATTATGATAATCTTGGACAAATAGTTATTGGCAATTGAATGAACATTGCGATGCTTTAGAACCACCAGAAGCCTGAAGACCTACTAACTTCACTACCAGCACATGTAGATCTGCCGACCTCACCACCAAGACTTGTAGCTCTACTTGTTAACACCGCCGTACTCACCAACGACAAACTGCATTCACTGATGCGGAAAACGTCCACAACGAGAAACATCCAAACGTGCAGCGAGCCCACGCCGTAGGAGAAAGCTGTGTCCAGGGCCAGGCTTGCGAACACAGGCAAGAACACGACACCGTAGATGAGCATGGAGATGACGACTTTCAGAGCTGTACAGGGAGTGAAGCTTTGTAAGCTTGGCAGAGACGCATCAACGTTTGGGTCATTTCAGAGGCGTAGCGAGGGTGTTTGGCGCCCGGGGACAAGATTCGCGCCCGGGGACAAGATCCATATTAAAGCGCCCATTTTTTTTTTCAACTCTCAAACCCATTATTTTCATCAACAAATTAATATCAAAACACATTTTGGCGCCCCTCACTAGCTGGCGCCCATGGACATGTGTCACCCCTGCCCCCCTCGCTACGCCTCTGGGTCATTTCTATAAACTAAATAAATTTGTTGCTATTCTTTGTATCAGCGTACTGTTAACGTCACCTTGGCACTGTTTATGTACATATATACAGTTATTATTATCTAAGTCAACATATGGAGTAATTTTTTTATTATTATTATATTTAGTGTCTATTTTCACTTTGATATGTTCATCATTTATTCACAGTAATTGTTTTAGGAGCTATGCTTTCTTTGTATCGCTCTTTCCACCAGAGGTTAACCTTACAGTCGGCTTACTTGATGTGTATGAAATGTCGGTAAAGTCAACGGGGAACTGGCCGTGTAGGATGATCTGATAGACGAGATGGGACGTGGCGCCAAAGGCGCACGCATACGAGATCCTGGAGGACCTTGTCATTGCATCCATAGGGCTGAAATTATGTAAGTATTTTTAGTTGCACTCTAATCAATGTAGTTGCACGCCGTACAGCCCGTGAGTGGACTTTTCCTAGACAACCGTTTCGTCCCAGCTGCTAAGTGACTTACTCAAAAAGTGTAAACCACGTGTAGAAATCCCTGTTAAAGGGCGTCTGACGCCCCAACGAGATGGGACGGGGGTATTTTTAGGGATATTAAAATATTTCCGTCCCAGCTTCAAAAAATTTCCATTTCTGGTGCAGTGAGAGCAGCACCACCAATCAGCCGGGTGCTCCTCATAAGGTGACGCCCCTCTTGCTTGCTCAGTCGAGTGGCCGGTGGGTGGGGCTTTCCCGGTGACAGAAAATAATATATTTTATGTTTTCCCTTACTATCTTTTATATTTCAGATTTTCCCATACTATGTTTTATATTTCAGATTTTCCCATACTATGTTTTATATTTCAGATTTTCCCATGCTATGTTTTATATGTCAGATTTTCCCATGCTATGTTTTATATGTCAGATTTCCCCATACTATGTTTTAAATTTCAGATTTTCCCATATTATGTTTTGTTGTTCAGATTTTCCCTTACTAATTTTTTATACTTCAGATTTTCCCATACTAAGTTTTATTTTTCAGATTTTCCCATACTATGATTTATTTGTTCAGATTTTCCCCTCACTATTTTTCATATTTCAGATTTTCCCATACTGTTTTATATTTTAGATTTTCCCATACTAAGTTTTATATTTCAGATTTTCCCATACTATGATTTATTTGTTCAGATTTTCCCCTCACTATTTTTCATATTTCAGATTTTCCCATATTGTTTTATATTTTAGATTTTCCCATACTAAGTTTTATATTTCAGATTTTCCCATACTATGATTTATTTGTTCAGATTTTCCCCTCACTATTTTTCATATTTCAGATTTTCCCATACTGTTTTATATTTTAGATTTTCCCATACTAAGTTTTATATTTCAGATTTTCCCATATACTATGATTTATTTTTCAGATTTTCCCCTTACTATGTTTCATATTTCAGATTTTCCCCTTACTATGTTTCATATTTCAGATTTTCCCCTCACTATGTTTCATATTTAAGATTTTCCCTACTATGTTTTATATTTCAGATATTCCCATATTATGTGTTCTATTTCATATTGCTTAAACCTGAATACAGTACACCCCATATTACACGTACAATATAATACCAGGTCGTCCACGCAACAGCCACGACAGTTTGTGTACCCGTGAGATTGAACACGCCAGCAACAGAGACAGGGAAACCTGTTTCAAAGTTTGAGAGACAAATTGTTAAAAAACGTTATACAATTTAATTACTGGTTTGTTAGTTTTTTTAATATTGGAGAAAATCCTAAATAAACCTATGATTATCAATCAATTGTATATTTGTGTTCATGAAAATCAACTAAACAGTTATCATTTACGGCCAGTTGAAGTCTCACTCTGGACTAAGAAAAGCAACAGACAAACCAAACGCAAACACGCAATGAAAAAAAGACAAGGTTTGTGAGACACCATACTTATGTGTTTTTTGTTTGTATAGCGAACGGTGTTGTTGTTTTCTTACTTACCCCGGGTATCAGGCAGTACTGGTAATATTTGTAGTCGTCGATGCTGGACACACACGGCTCACTGACACGGGAGGAGGGGGGGGGAGAGGGTTGTCATATATAAATTAAATTATAATATCATATTTTTTGGACAGTTAGAATAACTCATTTTAAAAAATGTGTCTCTAAATCCCACTTCTTCAATCTTCTCCCCGGAGTCCTGCTCTACATCAAATAGTCTCAATAATTTAAACATAAGTGCATCTTTTTTCATGGAATTTTTTATAATCTATATCACATTATGCACTAACTAGAGGTTTAATTAAAATAAACGTGTTCATTTGAATATGAGGACAAAAAATGGATATTGTGCTTCACGGTTTAGGGATGTGTGCTTTATACGTAGACACAGAAGAAGACTCTCTCACTCTCAGAGAAATCTACTCACAATATGGTCACATTACTGTCATTGGCCGCTTTGCAAATATATATCAGGGACTGTAGCAAAATGTCCAGCATTTTTGTCGCTGAAATACATGAGATGAGGAAATGTCTAAACACTTGGCCTTAGTACATGCGTTATGCTTTATTGAAGAAGTAAGCAGGCAATGATAATGGTGCGTGTGTAGTTGTAATGGATTTCAAACTGTAATCGATGCAAACATTTTTAAAAATATTTTCATCAGTTAAACCCTAATGCGCCGGTTAACCTTGTTCTTTTCAGAGTTGTCAATACATTTAGCCATTTTTTGATATTTTAAATTAGTAATAACACGTCTTTCGTTGTTGTCAATAGATTTAGCCATTTTTTGATATTTTAAATTAGTAATAACACGTCTCTAGTTGTTGTCAATAGATTTAGCCATTTTTTTGATATTTTAAATTAGTAATAACACGTCTCTAGTAGTTGTCAATAGATTTAGCCATTTTTTGATATTTTAAATTAGTAATAACACGTCTCTAGTTATTGTCAATAACAATATATGTAGATAAAACAACATTTTAAACTTAACACAATTTCTTTTACACTCCATAATAATGTTCCAATCATTAAAAATCATCAGATTTCTAGTATAATCATGTTCCAATCATAAAAACGTCATCGAGTGTCTTGTATAATCATGTTCCAATCATAAGAGCATCATCGAATGTCTGGTGTAGTCATATTGCAATCATAAAAACCTCATCGAATGTATGGTATAATCATGTTCCAATCATATAAACGTCATCTAATATCTGGTATAATCATGATCCAATCATAACAACGTCATCGCATGGCTGGTATTTCCTCTTTCCACAAACACCAACCTGATCTGTCCGTCCCAATACCCACGACAGGATTGATCGTCTGGCTCGTCTGGACCAAACATCATTTGAAATAGCGAACAAATGTTCTTGTCCTACATTCGAATACGTGTGTACAAAGCAATTACAGTGCCCAGCACCCGGGCCCAGTTTGGCTCGGTGTCGCCGTTATTTGCACTACCATTTACCACTTTGCAATGTGTAGGATTGACAAGCACCGATTGGCTGGCGTCATTCGGAAAAAATCAACCGGTTGCATTTTGTTTTAATGTCAGTATTTTATCTAACCTGTTGAAACGATGTTATCAATCGATGAAAACAGCCTGGCGATTATGTCGAACTCTCCTCTGTCATCAACGCTCTAAACAAATGCAACACGAATTCAAAGTTTAAATTGTTCCTACGTACAATATATATTTTTTTTAATGCTGGACATACAAGTGGCGCTATTTAAAAAAAAAAAAAAAAATTAAACTTCGCTATTGTTTGTTGTCGGCTGACTGGGTGACATAATCTTCGGAAGGTTAATTGACACACTTCCCGTCAAGCTGTCGAGCTAAAACTTGGCACATTGACCCGATGCCTATTGTCAAATTTTATACCCCAAATCCCCAAAATTCAGATTTCCTATTTTTCAAGGAGAGCGTGAAGGAAAATTTCCGATAACTGCGCTAAGTGAGATTCTTCAAAAATACATTGGAAGTGCGTTTGGTGCGAAATATTGTATTTTTGTTCTTCTGAAGTAGTTGTTGAACTAAATCTGCGATGTAAAGGCGGG